TATATATATATATATATATATATATATATAGTATATATATATGTATATGTATATATATAGTATATATATAAATATATTATTGGAAAGCGACACCATTTTCCAATAAAGCTATAATGTCAGCTATAATACAGCTAAAATGTCACTCCATTACTGAAAAAAAATGATAGAAACAAGATGGCATATGATGCAAAACATCAGTGATTCATTTGTAGTTTTCAACACAGTATTATTAATACTTTCAAGACTATTTTTGCACATTTGACAAAACCTCAACCAAGATATCCAGATAGATTATTCTAGTGACAAATCAAACAAATTTGCACCAAAAATTTTAAAGTTTGTAAGTCATAAAAATGGATGTACAAGATTGATGAATGTAAAATTTTCAGTGAAAACACAACACTGGCTCAAACACTGGCCTGGAACACAGGCCATTCTTATTGTTGAGCCCTGCAGAGTAATGACTACTGGAAAAGAGAAAGAGACATAAAATAAAGTGTAAGAGTAGGACATGAAGATTTTTTTTTTTTTAATTCAGAGCCGTTCAGAGAGAGAGAGAGAGCAATTCAAAGTGTACTGGAAGACTACAAGCCTATTTTCCATAGTTTGTGGTACTGTGCCCAACAGGTTAATGGCAGCCAGAAGGTCAGTGGCAATTCTGTGAAATAAAACACACTTTATGCAATAGATTATTGATGAAATAATCAGGCATGAGTGTAATTTTGCTGAGTAGATTAATAAATGAATAATGCAATGAGATGAGATTGGCCAGAGGTGCACTAAACCAGCATTTGCACTTCTTTATTTCCTTGACATTTCACAGGTGCTCTGTTAATGAATTGCACATTGGCATGTGGAACAGAATCAGTGTGATCAAGTATAGAGATCTAAAAAAATTGCTTCAGGAGCCAACACAAGCCTGACATGTGAAAATTTAAATTTTGATGCCCTGTGAGATCACCCGAGACCACCAGTACCCTTCTTATTATTGGAGAAAAGGCTATAGGCACTGCAGTGAAAAGCTGACCAGCAAAATAATACACTGCTGCTATCAGTGCTCAGTTAAAATGAAAAAGCCTTACAATTTATTTTTGAATTTGAGTAATTTAGAGTTGTTACAGATCCAAAATTTCAAAAGTTGAAATCATCACTACCATATAACATACAATAAAACCAATACCAATTTGTACCCCCGTTAAACCCATTAAATGCCCCCC